GTAGATGTCCTGAATTTGTTGGTTTAACATGGACTTTTTATAGTCTCATTGCTTCAGCGATTACTCAACAGATCCTCAATAGATTAATTGAGCAAATGTAATGCAATTCAAAGAATAATGCAGTTAAAACCAATGTAGCACAATACATGAAACTTTGCCTTGACATGAAAAACAGTGCTCAGAGCACAAGTATTTAGTCTCCCGTGACAAAATCAAAATGGAATCAAGTTTGAAATTTACTATACAAGAAAGAACTTTAAATTATGAAACATACAATTACGTGTAAGTGAAAAGTTGACCAAGATAGTTGTGGAATAAGAGTAAGGTTGAATACAAGATGATATTGTCTTGTATCCCATGCACACAGAAAAATAATTTATTCTTATCAATAGCTGTCAGTTATGAGGCCTTCCAAGGGGGGTACCCATGTCACATGTCGCATCCTTTTGTGTACCGATATTGCCGAACCAGCGGAAGCAAATGTCGCTGTTATTTTTTTGGATGAAGTCATATGTCACTGTTGCTAACAGGTTTTTTCCCCTGTAGGGTACTAACCCTCTAAAATAATGCAACTCGTGGTTTAAACATTAGTTTTTCAATGTTTATGTCTGTCTCTGTTTCCCTCTTTCATAATCATTTTATACTATTCATTCAAGTCCGACTATCACATGATTGCATTTAACTTCTATTACTTAGAGGTTTATTGGTCTTTATCCACTTCAAGTTCATAAAACTATTTCGAACACTTTTAAAACTCTATTTTCAAAAATAAGCAAAAGCAATTTGTTGTACAAAATCAGCAAAATGGTAACGAACAAAAAGTGCACAATGCACGATAAATGTTGATCTTGAATAAATGACACTCGTGTTCATTTTGGACTATGGTAGAGGTAACAACTCCGAGATAGAAAGGTGATGAGCTTTGGATTTCATGGAGTCCAGGTACTAAACTTTGCTTCACTGTGAGAACAGTCTGATTGAAGCTTATGTCTTCTTTGGCCATCTCGGGTTTTTTTTTTGTTTTCTTTTTGTTTTTTGGATTTGCGTTTGGGTTTGTGCTTTCCTTAGCTTTTCCATCTTTTCCCATGGAGAGAAAGAAAATCAGAAAAACTGTAGCTAACTGATGAGTGATCACTAGTTCATGAAAAACCCAGGAAGATTATTACTACCCTGTCGATCAGCTCTGATAGATCAGACCAGACCAACTCTGACAGCCTTAGCCTGGACTCTCGCTTGCCGGCAGTGGAAATGACCAGTCACAAGAGGTCAGTCACGTGTCTGTCGTGCCATATATATCAAAGACCAAAGGTCACCAATACAGGCAATTTGAGATTTTTGGGACTGTCATGCGATGTTTATTTGGCACCTTAAGATACCAGGATGGGATGAGCTAGGATGGCTACCAGAAGTAAATTTACTCAACCAGGCATGCGCACAAGAACTCTTGACTCACCTGTCTGCCGTCCTCGTCTCGGACGCCATTTCACCCGACTAGCCGTCGTATAGAGAAGGTGAGTATTTGCACTTGTTTTGCCCTGATAAATGTTCCAACCAACCTTATTTTCAGTTATATTGATAGGAATGTTTATAAGGTTCACATTTTTCATGATTGTAGTGTAGAATACTAAGCTGAGATACGAAAATGTGAATAAATATATTCTTCGTCTGTTTGTTTGTGTTTCAGTCACACTGTTCAGTCACTGTCAAGAGTGTGCAAGCTCAAAACGAAATACAAACTGTATGCATTGACAATACACCAGTGTAAGTACAGCCAATAAAATGTTATAAGGATGAATGCCATGGAGCATCTATCTAGCAAATAAAATACACATTTTCAAACTGATGTTTAGTTGCTGTTTTTTTATGCTACCCAGAACTTGATGAAATGCTTGTTTTATTTTTATAGTGCTTATTACAATCACAGATGGAAATTGAAATGTTCACCAAAAGTCGGCGACAGAATTCTCAAATGCTCTGGTGGCAAAAAGCAATCTGAAGCTGGTCGATCAGATTGTTCATTTAATTTTTCATACGGAAATTCTGGTTTCTCTACTAAAATATTGACAGATGTTTGCTTTGCTTATAAAGATAAAATTCAGCATCACTGTTTACTATCGTTTAAGCTTAATAGGATACGATTTCTATCATCTCTTTTATAGTCTAAAGGATGTCATTGCTTCTGTGAACAGGTTGTACCAAGTTCGCATTATTGACAGTGCCGTCCTTTGTGAAAATACCCATCTTAAGCATTTTGTTTTTGGCGACACAACTGGAACCGCGAAAGTTTCCCCCGAGAAACGTATTCAATGGAAAAGCAAACAAGTTTCTGATGTTTACAGCCTTTATACATGTAATAGAATACAATATCTACCTAGGAAAAAAGTCCAAAGGAGTCAATGTTGCTGTCTTTTCTAGTGTTTCTTGTGTCGCTGTCGAAGTTAAGTGACACATTTGATTTACTTGTCGCTAATTAGAAATTCCTGTGTCGATGGTTTTCAGGGTTGTGTCGCTTGTTGCTTTAACACCTTGGAAGACCTCAATTATGATAACAGTTCACTCATTCAGACAATCTATTCATGAGTACAATTTGGTACACTCAAGAGTATTTTAAAAATCACTTTATCCACTAGTAAATCATCACAAACCAGTAAAATGAACTGTAATTCTGGGTGAGGATAACTGTCAACACAAGTGAGTAGTTTGTATAAATCGAACCTCACTAATATATGGTTCCAAGGAATGTCATGGACTTGCTGATTTTTTAACTCTCTGCAATTTATATTCACTCCTTTCTATATGATCACATGTAAGACTAAACAAGTATGCCTCATTGGTACACACTAAATCACTTACAACCAGTAATCTTGGTGAATATTGGCCTTAAGAATATATTTACCTTACTGCTGCTTAACAATAAATATTGTAGCACTTTCACTTTCGAATTATGACAGTAACAATTATCATCATCTTTTGTAATCCACTCTGTCCAACACCCTCCTCCCTCAGCTACATATGTAACGTTCCCCACAACCAGTAAACCCATTGCCTTGTAGCTTTTTAAAGACAGGTCAAGACAAGTGTGACTGATTTTTAGCCCCTATTCAGTATTGCAGTCGTAACTTGTTTTATATTGTATGTTGTTAACATTGCTGAAATGCAAAACTCCATCCAAAGATATCCCCCACTCCAAAAATAAGCCACCAGGAAGCCTTGCCAAGGGCTCAGTATCAGAATTTTCAGGTTATGTCAAAAAAGTACATATCTGAATCCAGTTATCCAACAATTTGAATATGGTCACATTTGGAATAAAAAAAGTTGGAATATCTTTGTTTTAATTGAAACCCAAAAATGGATAATCAAAGCCATTCCAAAATGGTTAAGTCGTTGTAAACATGTAATTATAATTTTTCTCAGACACTCAAAAGCGACATGCCAAGCGTAATTAAAGTCGTTGCAGACAATTCTAGGTGGCAGTGTACAGAAACAAGGAAAACATTACGTGCGCCATAATTACAAATTCGAAGTCAAAAACTTGGAAACAGGATTTCAAAAATAGAATCCAAATTTAACCATAATCTCGAGAAATTAAACATTGATGACGCTAAAGAATCCATCTAAAACCCAACACCTCAGGGAATATAAGCGTAATATAAACAACCGGGCCCTATAAGGCAATGCAAGGTGATTACACCATTTAGTAAATTTTTCTCTCCTGATCAATGGATCCAGAAAATTAAACGGTGCAAATTCTTCAAAGCTACAAATAACTAGATGAAGACTTCTTTTTACCTCCTTCCGGCTACTGCTCCGTCGTTTTTTCCCAAAGGTTCATCAAGTTCAATGCCAGCCCAGTCGCCCTTGGCAAAACCAGTTTCACCAAGGTACCTCACAACACCGTGTTTTGTACCGCTAACCACAACGCGGTCGCCAATATTAAATTTAGCTTCTGTTTTCCCAGTTTTGATTTCATGTCTTGAAGTCCCCTGATCGTCGTTCGGAATTTGGTTAATTTTTGTGAGCTTCTCAAGTTTTGTAAATATCCCATGACCGGCTTGGCATTCAAAATATCGTACTCCTTGAACACTACCGTTATTTTTGCCAACAGGTTCGTCTAGAGCAACACCAGCCCATTCACCCTTAGCAAACCGAGTTTCTCCAATAAAAGCTATAGCTCCAGGATTGGTGTTTCCTACCAGGACACGATCGCCTATTTTGAAGAAGTTAAGCAAACTTGATTTAGATGAGTCAGTCGCCGCTTGACTTTCTGAAGTCCGAGAAGTTTCGCCACGTCTCTTGACAACACTTTGCGATGAATTTGTCTTTGAAGATGATCCACGTAGAGAAGAACTAGAACCTTCTCTCCTGTATTGCAGTTTCGATTGTGAATTTTCCCTTGAAGGTAGTCTCGGTTGTGCAATTTGCCCGCCAGTAACTGAGCCTCGAGGACTGACTAAGCGCTCACGACTGGTATTTAGTCTGCCGTTATCACTCGCCTGCAGTCCCCTCTTCACTGGTCCACTTGGAGTCTGGCTCAGTTTAGAACCCAAAGGATTAGTTCTTGGCTGTCCTGTTGATGTTGTTGCCTGAGAAGAAGCAGCTACAGCGCCACGTGGTTTAACTGAAGAAGAAGATTGACCAGCGACACCAACACCCCCGCCTTGTATCGGTTTCACTATTCTACTCGGCGTCTTTAAACGCGAAATTCCTGAAGGAATCTGACTCATTTTCTAGCAAGATCAAAGTAGCTTCTATTTCAACAGCTCAATATGTCCGAAAGATATGACGATTCAGTCCAACATGGCCAAAAATAGCAAAGCAATCAATTTAAAACCTTGCTTCGATGCACAAAATAACTCTGCTCCATTCAACATTGGTGCCCAGTCTCTTGCGACTACTCCGGTATCTGTTGACACAGGCACATACTTCAAATAACCCGCAGGGTGAAGGCTCTTCGAGAAGAGTCGAGAGGTGTGCGAGATTATCCGGGCTTCTCTAAAAGATAAAATAAGAGGCTGAAGGCTCTTTACAGTGTCAAATAGTAGCTGGCTTGCTAAACGTTTCGGGCTTACCCCTTCTTCAATGGATGAAGAAAAATCTACTGAAGAACGACGTTTAGCCAACCAGCTACTGTTTGACACTTTGAAAAGACCAAAAGAGCCTTCGGCCTCATGTTTTGGTTTATGGTCATAGTGTCACGCATCATGCGAGTTTTTTGCTCATTTCTACCATTCTCTAAAAGTTACTTATTTCATATGCTTTCCGTTGGAAATCACGGTTCCCAACTGCAGCAGACGCCTGAAAGAGCTGACTAAAGGAAATGCTATCCAACACCCAGCAACCAAAGGCACAGAGAGGATTAACTCTGTGTTGACGTACCATCTATTGAACCATCAGATAAAAAAGATGCTATTGACGAACTTTAACACCCTGATGAACGACGAAACCACCAAAGAGAATCTTCCCTCCGCCTCCCCCCCCCCCCCNCCCCCAAATAACATTCCACCGACGTTACCAGAATATCTGAGATATTCTTAACTACTAATGAAAGATCATATGTTTGAACTGCGGAAAAAGATGTGAAGACATGATTAATCATAACTGCGATGATCAGTCATGTCTTCATAATTCATTGCTTGAAAACTGACAAAAAAAAGTACTATGAATGTGAAAATGGCGCGAATGGCGTGTGAAGTTTAAGCTGTCTTGAGAGCTCAAAACGCACTAACCAAGGTTTGCATTTATTAAAAACTTATTAGTGTGATACAAGCCCACACACAGGTACCAACCGGTTGGTCACATGAGGTCGGGCGCGAGCCATTCAACCAAAATTTCCGGCCCGAAGTTCGAAAATTTCTTGGTAGCGAATGGATCGCGACGGGTTCGGACGGACTCGTTCCATTCCACTCGCAAAACTAGTTTCGCGCTTATTTAAAATGGATGACTGTTATATCAATGATAATATATAGATTTAGGCCAGCCTAAAAGCGTAGCTCCTGGGCCGGGTTGTTCAAAGCCCGATTAAGCTACCCAGAAAAAGGTAGAATTTTGATTTGAGTTTTGTAACTTTGCGGTGAGGTTTCTGTGTATTGTTTGGCCTTCTGTTT